ATAACTGCTATTTTCTTGTGGTAGCAAAGAACTGAGAACTAAGGGTATATGAATGTAATAGAATATTATTCTGCCATAAGAAATGATAAAGGGATAGTTACAGAGAAACTTCGGAAGACTTGTATGAATTGATAGGAAGCCAGGAGAACAATTAATATAATGCAAGTTATACTTATAAAAACTAACAACTTTTTGAGTCTTCAGAACTCTGATCAGAGCAATGACCACTGATAATTACAGGGGGCTGATGACAAAGCATGCTATCTACTTCTTACAGAGAAGTAATAAACAGCCAAAGGAATCACTAGTTTAAAGCATAAACTAATCTGAACGATATGGAGAGGGTGGTAGAAAACTATGAGGAATGTTGCCTCATAAAATCAAGAAGCAGAAAAGGGTATAAGTTTGCAGAAAGCATGGCAAGAGACCCAAAATTAGATGAAAATGATATGTATCTAATCCAACCCTTCTCTTTCAGTAGAAATCTGTCCTATAGTTTATTAACACAGAAGCATTTCTGCTTGGAGAGAGACTCTGACCTTCTCTGGCCCAAGCAACTTCCAACTTACATTTCATAGAGATCATGAAACAGTACAGTGGATACAGAGTTTGACCTGAAGTCAGGAAAACTTACATTCCGACTCTGCCACAGACACTTCATAGCTAGTTCTACAACCCTGAGGAAGTCATTTAACCTCTTTCTACTTTGGTTTCCTTATTTGTAAAATGAGGATAATAGCTCCTGCCTTCCATTGCTGTGAGAATAAAATGAGGTTTTCGTAAAATGTTTTGCAAATACAGATTAAATCCATTTGATGAGGTCTAGAGGTTAGGGGTCCTGGAATCCCAAAATCATGACATGCGGGTACTGTGTACAATGTTCTCCTGGTTCTGTTCACTTCACTCAGCATCAATCCATACAAGTCTTTTCAGCTTTTTCTGAAGTCTGCCTGCTCATCATTTCTTATAGCACAATAATATTCCATTACATTCATTTACTACAACTTGTTCAGCCATTCCCCAATTGATGGGCATCCCTTCAATTTCCAATTCTTTGTGACCACCAAAAAGAACTGCCATAAATATTTTTGTACATGTGGGTCCTTTCCCCATTTTTATGATCTCTTTGGGATACAGACCTAGAAGTGGGTATTGCTGAGTCAAAGGGTATGCAGTGTTGTAGCCCTTTGGGCATAGCTCCAAATTGCTCTCCAGAATGGTTGGATCAGTTCACAATTCCAACAACAATGCATTAATGTTCCAATTTTCCCACATCTTCTCCAACATTTATCATTTTCTTGTTTTGTTTTGTTAGTCAATCTGCTACATGTGATGTACCTCAGTGTCATTTTGATTTGCATTTCTCTAATCAATAGTGATTTACAGCATATTTCTTCATCTGAAAACTGCCTGTTTCTTTGACCATTTATCAATTGGAGAAATTCTTATAAATTTGACTCAATTCTCTATATATTTTGGAAATGAGACCTTTATCAGAGATACTTGCTGTAAAAATTGTTTCCCAGCTTTCTGCTTCCCTGCTAATCTTGGTTGCATTGGCTTTGTGCAAAAGCTTTTCATTTAATGTAATCAAACTCACCCATTTTGCATTTCATAATGTTCTATATCTCTTGTTTGGTCATAAATTCTTCCCTTCTCCATAGAGCTGACAGGTAAACTATTTCTTGCTCTCCTAATTTGCTTATAGTATCAGCCTTTATATCTAAATCATGAACCCATTTTGATTTTATCTTGGTATAGGGTGTAAGATATTGGTCTATGGGGCTGGTAATCTTAAAGTGCTATATAAATGCTAGCTATTTATTATTTTTCCCCAAAGTACTATACAAATGCTAGCTATTATTATTATTACCAAAGAGAATAGTTATATAATGATTGGTGAACTTCTAAAATTTTTTTCCCCAAACCAACTATTTCCCCCTTGTTACTGTTCCTAATGATTCTTCTTTTTTTCTTCCTTTGGCAATCGGGGTTAAAAGACTCACCCAGGGTCACACAGCTAGCATTTGAGGCAGGATTTGAACTTGGGAAGTCTTCTGACTCAAGACCTGGCACTCTATGCACTGTACCACCTAGCTGACCTAATGATTCCCCTTTCAATTCTGTCCAGAACAAAGCAAGGGATCTCTTAATTGGATTAAACAAAAAGGCATTCTTTGCAGCATTTAATGGGTTAACCACCCAGTCCTCCTAGATATTCTTTTCTTTGGGTTTTCCTGACACTGCTTTCTTTGTTCTCCTATCTGTTTGACTGCTCTTCCTCAGTCTTCTTTATTAAATCATCATCCATGACACCCCCTAACCACACAGGTGCATTCTTTCTCTTGGGCCCTCTTCTCTCTCTGTGTTCACTTCATGACCTCATCAGTCAAATCATCATCTCTATGCACATGACTCCCAGATCTATGTACCAGCTTTATTCTCTCTTCTGAATGCCAGTCTGGCATCACTAATTAAAACTCTTCACTATCTGACCTCCTCCCTACCTTTCCAATCTTCTTACACTTTTTTCCCCTCCACACATTGTAGTATCCAGCCCACCTAATGTTTCTTGCACATAACACTCCGCATTAATGCACACACCCAAGCTCATGGACAGAGTTGGCCCTACATGTTGATAGAGGAGACAGTGCATAGGGGGTGATTTGAAAGAAGCCAGAACAGTGCTGGGGCATCTTCTATAGCAGATGACTGCTTTAAATGTGCATTTCTTGAGTCTGGCACCTTAGACCAAGCACTAAACCTTCTCTCGAACCTCAAATTTCTAGGATTGTTGTGAAGATCAAATAGGATAATAATTGTCAAGTATTTAGCATAGTGTCTGGCACACTGTGGCTGCTAAATAAATGTTTTTCCTCTCAATTCCCTAAAATGTTACCTGAAAGATGCAGTAAGGAGAAGGTTAGCTTCTAGCCTTTTCCCAATAGTTTCTTGGTTTCATGGTACCCGAGGACCTCTATGGCCGTCTAGTCCAACTCTTCTCTACCTGAACAAGAATCTCCTCTATGGCAGGATGGAAAATGGTTTTCTACATTGTTCTGAGTTGTGCTTACATCAGCCTGAATCTGCTTCCCTGTAGTTTCTACCCACTGCTCCTAACATTGCCCTCAGTCAAATACTGACAAGGTCAAAGCCCAATTGGGACATAAGGTCATCTTCGTCAGATTCTCTGCATCACCACCGCCCTTCCCTGTCAATCCTTCTCTTTCCCCTGAAAAGTAATGCGTGTTACTTTATGAAAGCTTTGGTACTGCAGCCAGGAAGGACTCTGCCAAAAAAAACCAAAACAAAGCAAAAAACAAAACCCTCCAGAAAAACCATGGAACCTCCCCCAAATCACCAACTAACATAATTTTTAAAAACATATAAAATTTTATTAAAATCATTTAACACCCTTTAAGTCTTCAAATACAATTACTATATAAATACAACACAAAAGACAACATTTTAATTAAACAGATTGGCTTAATGGATAGGGAATCTTTGATATATCTGCACATGGGCTTCTTCAATCAACAGAATTTATTATGTCCACATCAGATTATGATAATATTCATTAAAATGTGGTTTTGTTTGTACCACTACAGCACAAGTAGCTATACATACGTACATGTATGTGCATACACATATAGATGTGTGTGTATCACAGTATCATAGATTCAGAGTTGGGAGAGATTTCAGAGGCCATCTAGTCCAAACCTTTCATTTTACAGAAGAGGGAACCGAGGACCAAGGAGATTAAATGACTTGCCCAAAGTCACACTAGCAGTATTCGTGTCACAGGTTGGATCTGAACCCAGGATTCCTGTTTCCAGAGTCGGCACTACTTTCACTCTGGACAGGTAAAGTATCGATTTATCTCAGCATCAGTTTACCCTAATTCAGCTTGAGATTTACAATTTTAGGACAGAACAAGAGTATATAGGTGTGGGCTACTGTATGAAGTACTCAGCTTAGACATAAAGAATTCACTTTTGCTGAGGTTTGTTACATACTGGTATGAAGAAGTCAAGAAAAATATCTCCTCTGAAAGGTGAGGGAATGATTATTAAGTGGCTTCTTTTGGTCTTTTTTCAGCTCAATAATTCTGTTCTTTAGATTAATGACTCAACCTTTTTCAAAACAAAAACTCCACACAAAATCTTTCAAAAACACTCTTTGCAAAACAAACTTAATTAAACTTGGCTGAGGGAAAGACTTGACTGTGAGGTCCTTGGGAACAAGCATTGGTTTTTGGAGGGGTTTCTGGTCTTTCTTTGTATCCCCAGCACTTAGCACAGTGCCTGACACACAGTAGGTCTTAATAAATAAATAAATGCTTATTGACTTGATTTGATTTCAATAAAGACTTCGAGGCCTAAAAAGACTCATTAGTGGTCCAAAGTTATGCTTCCCTGAAATACTCTTGGGAAAAGAATTATGATCACAGTCAAAGTTTTGTTCTTGAATACGATTTGAGGTGTTCAAAACTCTAGTCTCTTTTCCCCTGGCATCTGACATTTGCCTTTCCCTTGGAGATATTCTCACCCTGTTTCCTCTTGTTGTACTTTTTGTTGGTCACTGGGTTGGTCTGTGCCTAGATAGAGTTTGTCTTTAATTGTATTTGGGATAGCACCTAGCAGACAGTAGACACATCACTGCTTCATAATAATCACAATCTTGACCTATTGCTAACAACAAAAGTATGTCTATAAAGTGTTCTGAGTTCCTCAGAAGCCATTATATTAAATATTATATATCATTCTTTGTAAAGAATGATTTCTTCAATTAGCAGGTACAGGAGAATATAACAATTCAATGTATGCATAAATTTTTATCTCATTAAGATTTACACAGGAGGCGATCACTCACATTATTTTAGAGAGTTACATATTACAACAATACATAGAGCTAAAAAGATTTTTTTTCACTCTATTCTTCTTGTTCCTAATTTCAAAACAGGCCAGATAATTATTTCCTTTTCTATTAAAGACATGGCATTTTTTTAAATAATGGGAGCTGGCTTTATTTTTTTTTTTTAACCTCCCAGTTCTTTTACCTACCCCAATGAACTGAGAGTATTTGATACCTGTCTTTCCTTAGCCTTAAATATGTTGTAGGTTTTTAGTTTCAAATTTCTAAAGGCAGAATCTAAAGGCAGGATTGATGTCCCATGTCACATGGGAGTAGGATAAATCTGGACAAGAAGAATGTTAAAGATATTCATTTAAATGACCAAAGCTGAACTCTCATATTTTAATAACCTTCCTGCACTTGAATATGTTTATGATCCTCCTGGCTATTTCCTTCCCTTCTGTATTTGCCAGCATTAGTCTTTGAAGCTGAATTAGGGAAATGTGTAGAACATGTGGATGGCAAGCAACTGGATCTCTGAAACAGGCACCACACCAAACTCTTCCCTTTGCTTAAGTTACCTTTTATTCCACATCTTGAACAAAAGGGAGTCTTTAGTGACCTCCACGGACCTAATTCAGATCTGTTATGACAGAGAAGGATGAACGCTCCACTATCTCAATCTAGAACCTTAGCAGAAGGCTCATTCTCTCTGGCTATTAAGGAACTTACCCAGATCAGTTGTAATACTTTCTGGACTTTCATTTACAACTCTGATGTAAAAAGAGCTGCCAGTGTGAAGGGTGCCTCCAATCAACTGCGTCGGTATGAAGCAGTTGTTTACAAAAGGATTCTGACAAGATGAGGGCAGAGGATAACCCACCCACTGTGGGGAAAGCCTAGGTCCAACCGCTCCATCTGTGACAGCAACATTTCACAATGTGTTCATCAAGATTAAACTTGGTTGTATGATCAGAAACAAAGAGACCCTATTTCTCCAAATCCAGATTTATAACAAAACTTGTTGGATCAGTCTATGATACAAAAAATCAGCACCTTGTGGAAAACAAAACACTACAAAGAGTGTGTAAGGGAACTAGCACCTAATCCTGATAATGTATACAAATACAGCTCCTATAAGACAAATGTAAAACTTTAAAAAAAACCCTCATTAACAGGCATTTTTGGCTCAAAAGTAAGTCTTTACCCATAGATATTAACCTCCCCCATCTCAGGGCACAGAGGTTAGAAGAGGTATCCTCTATCATTTCTATATTTTGCCTATTACTGGCGCAGAAGATGAGGAAAGGGGGTGGGGAGTGGAAGGGAGGTTGGGGCACATAGTTTCTATGTCACTGAGAGCTTTGTTATGCTTTCTCTACAAGATCTTTTCAGAAAAGCATTAGGGATTTAACTCTATGGATGGCAAAAAACCCAGCCTGCATCTGACTGCTGAGTTCTTCCTGCTCTGTTCCAGACTGTGCCTCTTTTGGGTTCCACTGGGGCAATGCTGTGGCATAAGAGATGCTGGATGGTAAGTGGCATGTATGAGAGCATGGAGGGGTACAGAATTTCGTCCTGCTATAGATATTCTTTCCTCTAGTTGCCACCAAGGAAAGAATAAAAACTGGGCTCATAATGCAAGAAAGTCAGCTAGAACTTTATCCCAAGTCTGGGCTTAACCATAGCTCAGTGCTTTGTCAGAAATTTTGGGAACAACAACTCAAAGAGTAAAGTTGTCCTCCATTCCTTACCCCATCATCACCATTATCATCATCACCATTATTATCATAATCTTTTTCTTCTTCTTGTCCTTTTTTTTTTTAACAACTGCTCATGTTTTCATCTTCTTCCACAGCATCACATACCATCTGGTAAACATAGCAGCTAAAGACTCTGTTGGGTTTCTGTTCTATGTGCAAGACTAAGTCTCTGTCGAAGTAAACTTCATGGCTGTATGTCTGCAATTGAGAAAACAATGACGAATGGAAACTTTGCTTGACATAGCCCTATTTACTTTTAAAGTGCCACAAAACATCTTTACATCAAAATCTCAACAGAAGAGACCAATGAACAGAATATCAAATGTATCCAACAATCTGACCCAACAAATATTTATGTAAGCACTTACTACATATTATATACAGTTTTCCCTTCCACATAGTGGGGCTGGGGTACAGCACCCCCGTGAGCTAGAAAATCCATGTAAAACTTTTTGTCCCTCTGTACCAGATAAGTCTGAATTATGAGATTAAAAGAAAAAATATGTTGATATTACACAATACCATACACAAATTTTATGCATTTCTTGAGTTTCTAAACTTTTTCTGTGTTATCTGCTGGCCTTCATCCCCCAAAATTTCCATTTAATTTCTTATGCTGACCTGATGTATCAAAACCATGATGGGGAAAGTCTCAATGTGGTAGGTATAACTGTAGTTTACAATTTACAAAGCCCTTTGTATAAATTATCCTGCTTGGTTTTTACAACAGCCCTATGAGGTAGACAAGGAAGGTGTTATTTCCATTTCAGGGATGAGGAAATTCAGACTCCAAGTTGTTAAAGTAACTAGTCCAAGGGTCATGCAGCTACTAAGTGGTGATGCCAGTACTCAATACAGATCTTCTGAATTACAATGAAATACTCTTTCTGTTAATAAGCTGCCATTCAAATACGTACTTAGCAGCAACCAAGACACAGGGGAAAGGACGTTGCTTTCAACCTTCACAGAAGCAGAGATCACTACCACAGGAAAGCCATCAAACAGAACACAGAGATGGTCAACGTCCCCGCCTCAAGATTCTACTGTTTCAAATAAAACCAAACAGAATGGAAAACAGAGAAAAGACAGGTAATAATGTGAGGGACCAGAAAATCATACGTTAGGTGAGGGGGAAAACATATGACTCTCCTTTTAGGAATGGGTCCCCTGCTGGGGAAAAGGTATTCATTATATTCTTCCTGCAGGATTTTAGATCCTGGTCAAGCTTTCATTAGTAGTTGTGGAGAGTCTGGTTTGAATGCAGCACAGTGCCAGACACACCCTGCCATAAATGTCAGATTAGAGAGAGGTTCTAAGGCTTGGCTTTCGTGGTCTTTACTCACCACGTCCCATGACTCCACTAATGGAATGCTCTTGAGTAATGTCCCATGTTCATTACAGTGGAAATCCAGGTGAGCTTTCCCCTCAGCGTCCAGCTGAGTAACTGCTACCACAGAGAGCAAATCCAACTCATCTTCATAGTCCACAATTTTGAAAGTCTTGATGGCAGAAGAGGGATGGGTGGTGTGAAAGGGAGAAAAGTAACTCTAGTTATTTAGATGTAATTTCTGTGTTCATGCTTAACGTATTTCATTTCTTATGAGAAATGAGGAGGAAGGACAGCAGGAGGGACACAGGTAGGGTGTTCAGGCTCACAACCACAAGACCTTTAATAATTAAGTAGTGCCCTGTAAAGGTCCTCATGATCTCAGGAGCTACTATTCCCTGTGCATTTCAGCAAGAAAATAGTAAGATTTCTCTGGGTTGAGAGCAGGTAAGCATGAGCAAGCTAAGGAAGGAAGGAACAGAGTAATTTATATACACCTCAATATTTTGGCAGTGGTATCTAACTTATCCCCATCTTCTCTGTTCTACTGATGACTAATTAATCACTAATTGGATTAAATATACATTGAGGTCAATTCTCTATGGGGTTTTAGTAGACAGATGACAATGCTTTGAAGGTTCATTCAAGTGGAATACATGTAGATGTACTAATGGATCACCATGCAGGCTCTTGGAATCGTGTGAAAGTCTTAGATATTCACTACAGGCATGGTCTACTTAACACTGTACCCACTAACATCCCTTTACAATAATAGCAGAAAATATTAATGTGTATAACCAAATCTCATTTTGATTCTACACTAAACTCCACTGTAATATGAAAAGTGGCTTTCTCTTCTTTTTCTCTGGCAAACTCCCTTTGTCTAATGATTGATGAAGGATGACAAGTTTGGTGGTCATAAAGCTACCCATTCCATATTTTTAGCAGCTCTCTTAGAAAGTTATATCTTATAGTGAGCCACACATACTTGCATATATTTTACAAAACATTATATACATATATATTTTCCCCCACTCACTGGTCCTGATTCTGCTACACTGATAATAAATATTATTTATTTATTAATGGATAAATAAAACAAATTCCTCTTTCAGAAGACAGCTCTTCGAATATTTAAAGCCAGGTAGCATGTGTTTCTCCCCTCTCTCATTTAACCCATGTAAAACCACTCTAGTTCTTTCAACTGTTTTTTGTATAATATGGTGTCTAGACTCTCCACTATACTGATAAACCTCCCAGTTTGACAACGTCCCTCTTAAACTATGGTGTCTAGAACTGAACACAATGCTCTAGATTTGGTCTGACCAATACAGAACACAATAGGACATTGCTTCCTTTAATAGGTATACCCTACTATTAATGCAGCTTAAGATTGCATTAACTTTTCTGGCAGCTATTTGACACTCTTGGTTAATAGTGAGCTTGAAGTCCAGTAAGACCCCTTTGAAAACCCCTTGAAGTCAACTAAAATTCCTTTCAGATAAATCAAACCAGGTTCCTTTTTTGGCAACTGATTTTTGAATCTAAGTGTCAGAGTTTAATTTAGCAAAATTCCACTTCCTCTTGGTCACTTGGGCCCATTCTTCTAGCCTGAGATGTTTTTCTTTTGCATTTTGATTCTGTTGGTAGGTGTATTAGTCATTCCTTCCACTTTTGTTATATGGATTTATACAAAACCTTTATCAGCTAGAAACAGACTTGAGAAGCAATTTGGACATTTCTTTAAGCAAAAGGAATAAAAAAGTACTAGCTTCCAAATGACAATGCTAAAAACAGGCCAGAGACTACACTGACCTAAGACACTAGAAAGACAACCCTTCCCCACACGGTTGCCATCACTGTATTTATAACAACTAAACAAGCCAAACAAGAAAACAGTAAGGCAAACTATACTAGATCATCAGGTTCCAACTTAGATCCTTCCTGATGTTCCCAGAACCCTTCCAGATTTTCACAGGTGTGGCAGGGAAAATGTCTCCTAGTATCCCCACCCTCTTTTCCTTTCAAGGTACTAAAGCTGTCCTTGAGATTTTATTGGTTCAAGGGACTTAGGCTTGGCCTGCTGATGTGCTTGCTGGTCACATGAAAGCATCACCAAAAAACCAAAACCAAACACAAAACAAAACCATAAGCAGTTCCATAAGATTGTCCTGAGGCTTAACTGTTGAACCACCACAGGTAACACCCAGAAAGGGAAGCCAAGCTCAACTGAGTCAATGCTGTCTCTTTCACAGAACATCCTTTCCTGGCTCTGAAGGTCCTTCTTCCTCAATGGCTAAGTAAATCTCCTTTTGTTAACTATCAGAAGGACTACAGGTGTCTCATCTCATTCCAATACTGAACCTGAGGTACCAGCCTGACCTGGTCAGCCCTGGCCTATTAACATGAGGAACATACGTGTATTTATAAAATCAATCAATGTGTTACGGCAAACTGGTTCCATTGATCACCTATGGTTAAATTCCTACCTCTTGTTCTGGATCATCATCCAACAGATTAAAACGTTTCTTTACCACTCGTCCAGAAGCTGTAACAGTTAATAAGCTTTTGGTCTAAGATTTCAGAGAAAGAAACAGATATGACAGACTTTAGATATGTGCACCAAATAGATAACTATATCAATCTGCATTCAGAAAAACGAACTCTTACCTCCACACTGTATTCAATAAGCAACAATGTCTTCAATCAACAAAACAGAGAATTCAGGTTTTTTCCACTTATATACTTAATATGAAAAAGTTAATAATTCAAGAGTTATAAATGAATATTTAGTATATGCACAGATGCACAAAATTCATTGCCAGCAAAGGGAACAACTAGCACAAGAAAAGGGGTCATATGATAGGTTCATCACCGATTCCTTTTTCTTATATGTTAGTCTGTCATGGTGTTTTTCAAACATTTTGGTCCTCAGGACTCCTTTATACTCTTAAAATCACTGAGGATTCCCCAAAGAGCTTTTGTTTGTATGTGTTACATCTACCAATATTTACTAAGCATTTACTACATTGGAAATATAGACACTTACCATATTAGAAATTGAAATGTCTTATCATTATTATTGCAAAAACAATTTTGACCTCACAGACTCCCTAAAAAGGCCTCAGGGAACCCAGGGTTCCTGGCCAAAGTCTAGCACAACACTGGTATCCACTTTTAGGCATTTCGCTCCTTTCTGCAAGTTCCCCAAAACACCATGTACGTGTGTATGACAAGTGAAAGGAACAGGACCCTCTGACCTAATTATGTAGTTCTTAAGAACCTCGAAGCCTAAGGTTACCCAAGAATAAAAAAATAACAATAGGATATAAAGGACAGATGTTTAGCAGTGAAAATAAAAAAAGAAATAAATCACAAGTAAAAGATGAACTCACTATAATTAACTTCTAAATTATACCTGTGCATATACTAAATATTCATATCTAAAATCCAAAGGACAGATAAGTTTTTAAATTAGTATGGAAAGGTCTACAAGCCATGCCCTGCTCTTTTTGGCCACTCACATGCATATAATGATGTGATATTTCAATGTAAAAGACAATGGTATATAAATTGCCTTACTTTTTCCTCTCTGTCAGCCACAATGACAAAATCTTCAGCAACCTGATGCTGGGTCTTATTATTTTCTATTTCTTTTAGTTTCAAGATTCTGAAAAGGAAAGGAAAAAGAATTACAAAATTCTAAGGGCCTATCCAAGTGTCAAAATCAATTTAGGTCAGCAAATGAAGATTACAGTAAAAACATCAAACTGTTTATAGTTTTTTCCTGGTTCCTTTTGTAATACAATTGCAGATATGTTCATGGGTCCCCTATTTCAATATTTTAAAGGCTAACAAATATTAAATAGGGAAAAGAAGGAACTAAAGCAATAAGTGCTACTGAAATATTTGGAAAATGCAGCAATACTAGTGCACATAATTGAGGAAATTTGCCAAACTAAGGTGAGAAAATTTACTCTGAAACTGTATTATTTCCATTTTGCCTAAGATTTCCTGTTTTGATAATGGCACTGGAAAGGATTTTTGTGAGTTTATTTCTTAGGGATTTGCAGATAAAGTAAGATCTGTATGAATGACACTAGTAGATTAAGTTTGAAACATGACTGAAATAGTAACTAAAAGTTTGAAACACGACTGAAATAGTAACTAAATTGAACTAGAGGGCTTGTTTTTAAAGTATTTTATGTCAAAGTGAATGGACAATGTTTATAATGTACCTGACTTACTCATTCCTGAGGGTTAGGTACATGCGAAGTCAAGGTTCCCAAAGTGGGCAATACTGCCCTCTGGGGGATGCTGGAATGATGTGGGGGAGAAGCGGGGGGGAGCTGGTAATAGCCCTGTGCAATTTAGGGGCATTGAATAAAAATAAGGAGGTGGTGGAAGCATAAGGAAAGAAGACAAGAGAAGAAAATTTTGAAAAACCGTTCATATGTGTTTCATCTGTTGTGTAACAGAGTTAAAGTCATAATAATTACATTATTTTCCATATAAACATACAAATGTATACACACAAAAAACATAAAAAGTTATAACCTATCAGTGGTCAAGTCTGCCAACAGGTCTCAACAAGCAAGTATTGGCATGTGAGTGTGTCTGTGCATTGTCGGGTAGTCCAGCATGCATTGGCAGGAATATGTGCATGTAATGACTTGTTTACAGTACAATATCATACTGTTACATGATGTAATATTGCATCATCAATATTTCAGTGCCGGAAAAACTTCACAAATTTACAATAAATTATTAAATTTAAGATACATCAGTTTAAAAAAATTTATATTTTTTTGAAATGATGCAAATTTTTAAAAAACAAACCCGACATTAAAGGGTTAAAGATTTCCAGGGGGATGCTGCATAAATTTTTCTTTTGAAAAGGGGGCAGTAAGCCAAATAAGTTTGGGAACCTCTGGTATAGACAGACCCGCACAAAGAGTTGATCAAGTAACAAGAATAAAATTAAATTTCCATCATCACTTATGAAATTCCAAAGCACTTGCTAAAAGGACAGAATAAGACACCGGAAGAAGAAACTGATGCTGGATAAGAATAGATAAGAATGATGGAGTTGAGTGAGGAAGTCCTGAGTTCAAATCCTGTCTCAGACACTAACTAGCTGTGTGACCCTGGGCACGACACTCAGGGTCAGTTTTTTCAGCTGTGAAAATGAGGATATGTTGTGAAGATCAAATGAGATAATGTATGTATAGTGCTTTGCAAATCTTAAAGTACTATAGAAATTCTAGTTATTATTGTTATTTTGATGATGATAACAATAACTACTACTACGAACAACTACAACTACATCCTAACCAATCACATTTTAATTATTGGCAGCTTTTTAAAGCCTAGCAGAGGTCTCTGACCTTCATGGGCTTTATATGTCTTCACCTCAAGCATAAACTAATTCTAAATAAATTGATGACAAAGAATAAGAGGTACATGTTATATGAGGTAATATATCTCTTGGGACTCCAGTGTGACCAGTGAGAAAGAAACAAGGAAGAAAAGCTCATTATTCTATTTTTTTCCCTGTATTGCATCTCTTCTCCCATCTTTTAGAAGACAAAGAGAGGCAGTGAAGTTAGCCTAAAGGATGTGGAATAGGAGTAAGCAATCAGCATGAGCTTGTTTCCCCTCTTAATTTCAATCTAATTATAGTTAGAGACATTCTCCCTTGTCAGGGAGAAGTGGGCAAACTGTTATCCATTTTAAAGCTATGGGTAGAGTGTGTGTTGGGCCCAGAAAGCAAGAGCACATTACAGAAAAGTGTCCCCCCCCCGCCAAAAAAAAAAGATTGCTCTCCCTTTGGGCCAATATGCCCTTTCCCCTCCAGTTATAAAACCAAATCATGTTTGTTTATTTGCTTTCTCTCTTTAGCATAATGCAGTGACATTAATCTCTGTCACAGAGAGGCATAGCTAAATATTCCTCTCTCACAAGTTCTTATTTACAAGGAGAAAAGCAAGCTCTTATTATCAAAGAGGAGAAAACAACAAGAAGAAGCTTTTCTGTGTTAGACAGTATACTAAGGATGGGCGCTATCCATACAAAAGAAAGACAATCCTCCTTCTCAAGGAGCTTACATTCTAATGGGGAAGACCACACATAAATGGCAACTGAAAAGGGGGAGGAGGGGCAAAACCATAGAGCAAAACAGTTTGTTCAAACATTTACAAAACGGGTGGAAAAAGAGTTTTCCTTTAGTTTTCCTGAGGCCTGTCTCTTTAGTATGCTAGTTAAGCATAACACCAACTCTAATTATTTCTACAGCCTCCTCAGTAGTTACCTCATAAAAACAGAGATGCCAATAAATGCTATGAAAAGTTACCTTTATAACTCTGCAATGACAAAAGACAATACTTACTTGACCTGATTTGGACCCACATGAATTATTCTCCCAGAGGCATCGGGATGGAAATATATCCAGTCAGATTCTAGTGAACAACAGTTCATTTCTTGGATACCATTTTTTGCCTAAAATTGGAAGAGGGAAATTAGGGGAAAGGGCAATAAATTCTAGAACCTCCTCACAATTATATTCCTGCACCTGCTCACAGATCAGTTGCTACATGTTAGAATGGAGCCGTCCAACTGCTGTTCATTAAGTAACAAGTTCTTATCATAAGTGGAAGAAACATGGGAAAGAAGGGACACTGGTGGTAGAGTCAGGATTAATGTGTGGGGGTAAACTGGGGGGAAAAAAACCCACAACCCAAAGTGGAGAAATTCCAGATTATCTGCTCTGTAGCTTCATACATATTTCACATACTAAGTAAAACAAGTATAAAATGTGCTGAAAAAGAAAAACAAGAGCAAGAATGAAACCCTGTTGTTTTTCATTGAGTTATAGGTAGTCATGAAGTTTTTCAGAGCTTCTAACAATAGATTCTAATGGCAACGTCAGTTAGAAAATTGTATAACACAAAAAGAGTAACCAAATAGGATACTGTATATAAAGTGCTTTACCAAGCCTCAAACTGCTTTATAAATGTGAATTCCCAAGCCTCCACCCCACCCACCAGTGACCTGCTCAGTATAGGGAAGCTAGCATCTGTTCCATAATTTATAGTCTATAGTTGCCTGGGGCACTAAGGTAAAGAGTGTCTTGCCCAGGTTCATAAAGCAAGTATGCATCAGATGTGGGGCTCAAACCCAGGTCTTCCTGACTCTAAGGACTGGCTTCCTTCCCACTGTGCTAGGCTACTGCTCAGCAATTACTATGATGGTGGTTATTAATTATTACCTAAACTAAACATCAGGAAATCCTGGCTACACAGCTCTCTCTAATTGAGTCATGCATCCAATACTTTCTGGAAACATTTTCTCCCTTTGTATTACACTTAGCCACTGTGCTAAGAGTAGGTATGCTCCATACAAACATGCCCTAGGAAGAGTCAGAAACGCCTGGAATCAATCCCAGCGCGGCACAAATTAATTTCTGTGGCTTTGCCCAAGATGTTTAACTGTTGTCACCTTCTGAAGTGTAAAATGGAGCAATAACATCTTTCCCGTCAAAGTTATTGTCTAGTGTATGAATGTGCATAACATTCTTGAAGGTTAGAAAGTATGAAGAATGATGAGTCCTATGCAGAAGTCATTAAACATCAAAAAAGTTCTGGAAATAAAAGCAGTTGATGTCATGTGGGGGGAAGGTGGGGGGAGAGAAAAAAAAACACAACAAAAAATCCCATCTGAATAATTTTTAAAAGGAACAAATCCAAGTTGTAAAGAAGTTCCCTTTAGAATTTGCCCCTGCACACCTGCTTTAACAAAAGTATCTTCTTAAAAATACAAAGGTCTGGTCACCAATACTTTGTGCTCTGCTCTGGGAGGCAAGAAACAGAAAGGACAGAGGAGGCCAGGAAGCCTTGCCCCAACATCCTCTCTCCCCCCAACTCTGCTGCTCATGCCAGGGCTATCATTAAGTATCCCCAGAGGTGTCAGGCACTATGTTCTTTGCTAAGAGGTTGGTAAGCAGATAAAACTCGGAGCAGTGCTTGGGGTGGCAAGAAATGGTTTTCAGGAATGTATGTGTGTGCATTTGTGGGTACCTGCCAGGAATAATTCTGACATTGGCCTATTCTAGGAAGGTTGGACAAAATAAGTCACCCAGTACCAAGGAATGATCTTTAAGTGCACAAATATGGAAGACGCCTTTTTGTTTCTTCTTGTTAGGGGTGATGATGTAGTGCCAAGGATAGCCTCCAATCTGAAATGTGTTCTCCAGGGAAGACACTTCAAAGAGCAACGGAGGAGTATCTATAGAAAAAGGACAACAAGAAAATTACGATTTCACCTTTAGGATGGGTTTTTTAGATCAACCTAGAGCCTTCAACTTAGAATTTCTGCTCAATGTAGCTCTTATGAAGTTCTATTATGATAAATGAGATGCAGAGTGGATAGAGAGCAGGCCTTAGGGTCAGGAAGACCTCCTGAGCGCAGGTCCCACCTCAGACATAAATAAGCTGGGTGACCGTGCCCAAGGCACTGAACCTCTCAGTGCCCCAGACAACTCTTTTAAAACAGGGTGCTTTATCTTTTTTATGTGTCAAGGACCCCTTTTGTAGTTTGGTGAAGCCTATGGACCCCTTCTGAGAATAAGGTTTTTAAATGCATAAAATGAAATACAGAGGATTACAAAGGACACCAATTATATTGCCATAGCTAAGTAAAATACCAAACCAGTTCAAGACCATAGCTTTAAAACCCCTGCTCCAAGATAACAGATGGCAGAAAAGTGACCTATATGAATTGGTAGAGGAGGTTTAGCATTTATATAGTTAGCAATTATGTAGGGTTTTAAGGTTTGCAAAACAAGTTATATAAGTTACTTCATCAACAGGACCTATTATTACCCCACTATACAGATGAGGATAACAGAGGATAAGAGATATTGAATGACTTGCTCCAGGATTTGAATTCAAATTTTCCTGACTCCAAATTCAATATTCTATACACTGAGCTACCTAGTTGCTTTCTAGGCTTATTTGCAAGGAGTTCTCTACACCAATGGAATCGCTAGTCTAGACCTTCACAGAAAAAAATAAAATAAAACTACAATGAAGTGACGACATATAAAGAAATAACATAAAATTACAATAAAGTCACCACATGCAAAAAAAGCATAACTTAGAAATGGGCTTATTGATAACAAAAGAAAAAGCCAGAGGGAAATGTACCTTTGGATGGAAGTTATCTCCCAGCTATCTCATCTTTAAAAATTATCTGCATATACTACATCAGAATGAAGGTAAAACATAAACAAAGGCCTTGGAAACTTCAAATAACTAAAGCTAATTATCTTTGGTTGGAGTGTGATGGGGGAAGGCTATGTGAAGAAGGTGAACCACAGTCCAACAAATTAAGTTATACCAAGACACCTTGGTGCATCGGAGTGGGAAAAAAAATCAAAGAATTCCAAAGAATTCAGGAAACACATAAGGTTAAAAATCATGTCTCTGAGCTTCTTACAGAATGGCAGCCACCTTCTGCAAAAGCAATAATAGCATTTTTTAAAAATGCAATTGCTGGAACAATTTTGTGATATCATATTGCTTATCTTCTCAATGGACTGGAAGAAGGGAGAGAACTGGGAACTTATTAAAAGATGAATATAAAAATAAATAAAATACAATTACTAAAAAAAATACTTAAAAAAGGAGCAAAATTTTGTATAAGAGTTAGGAGGGTAAAGTAAGGTATGAGTTTTATCTATCTATCTACCTACGTACATGCATACATACATACATGAGATGTGTAGACCTGAGTTCTTTACCTTTTTTGTGTCATGGACCATTTTTGGCAACCTGGTGAAGCCTACTCCCTAATGGCTTATTTTTTAAATTTAAAATTGAAGAAAACGCTAAATTTTAATTCAAGACTAGTGAAAATAAAGATATAATTTTTTTTCATCCAAGTTCACAGCCCTCCTGAAATCTATTCATGGAGCCCTTAGGGATTTGTGAATCCTAAGTTAAAAACCCTTATTCTAATTTGGCTTAACATGAATCTATTTTTTCTTATAGAGAACATCAAAAAATAAAATGTATTTGGATGTCCTCAGTTGTCATCTGCTGAACTGGGCTGAACAGAAGAGATATGCTGTTGGAAAAATTCATAATGTAGAAGGTACCAGGGTTCTTAACCTGGAGTCCATGGACAGATTTGGGTACTATGAACTTGGAAAAAAAACACCCTACATTTTAATTTCAATGTAATTAATTGGTTTCCTTTGTAAACCCACGTATTTTATCTTATGAATTTCTAAATGTTATTCTGAGAAGGGGGTCCATAAGTTTCACTGAACTGCCAAAGGGGTCCATGTCACCAAAGAAAGCGAAGAACCCCTGACTAGAAGGTATCCCTTTACGTACACCAGAAGGTCTGAAAAGGGCGTTAATAGATGACCTCATTATATAGTTTTTTCTCTTTGCCTTCATAATGTTTCCCTTACAAGCTTTTTATGAGTTTATGAACTATTCTTATTAGGGAGTTTTGTCTTAGAGATACAATTCAAGTAAGACTCCACATTACAGAAGAGTATATTTAGTTGGGTTGTTTCAGTAGCAGCAGACTCAATTCCCCCAGTAACTGAATACTTAAGAGTTACGAAAGAAAAACCTCAGTGTTGAAAGTTGGGTTCTGAGGCTGACAGTGTAATAGAGCAAAAGAAAGGAAGAGTGCCTGTAAGTTCTACAATAGAAACATTGTCTGTCAAAGGCAATGTATTCCCACGTTAAGGCAAACACTAAAAGATATGTGGTTTCAGATCTGATTGTTGAATTAGAACAATCTTGATTCCAGCAACTTCTCAGGTAGAGAAGTGATTGCCTTCAAGGTTTGAAATAAAGTAGATGTATTACAAGAGAGGGTCCTATTGGAAGGGTGGCAATGGGAAATGTCAATAATGTAAAAAAACAAAACAAAAAAACCCCAACCATCAATAAAGAATTAAAAAAAAAAAGACGATAAACATGTTACTTACTGCTATTCACTATAACTCAAGTCTGGAAAATGAAATGTTTTAGGTTCCACAATTAAAAAAATTCAATAATATTCATACTGCCTTAAAGTTTACAAAGCATTTCCCTCACAATCCCCCTTCCTGAGGGACAGCTAGTGCATATATTATTATCCCCATTTGACACTGAGGAAATTGAGGCTAGGAGTGGTTACATGACAGTGCTAGACTCAAATCCTCTGACTCTGAATTCATTTTTTCCATTAAATTATGCTGCTTCAATGTTGTTTTCCTCCGATGAATTAATCAAAGATGAAAGAGCTCCCAGATCACCAACATATTATTTCTGGTCTCATGTGCTTCTTCTCAATTCAACAAATCTTGAGTTTTTCTGCTTTTCATATTTTTTAGCAGGACACAGTATGGTGCCTAGTTTCTTTAGTGCTGCCAGTGTATCAACACTATCCTTCTAGAGTATTTTTTCAACAAACCAGTGATTTTAACCCTTTCCTAAAACCATGGTTTGAGCCTGAAAGTTACACCTGAATGGCTTGAACCAACCTCTCATGCTATTCTTGTGGGAAAGATTTGGAACAGCTTAAATGGCTGGACCCACAGGGTTCTGTTCTGAGCCCTTTTATCTTCTCTCTCTACAATACTTCACTTGCTGATCTCATCAGCTCTCCCATGGATTTAATGACTATCTCTATGCTGACCACTCTCAAATCTACCTATCCTGCCCCTAATCTCTCTGCTGACCTCCAACACTGCATATCCAACTGCCTTTCAGACATCTCGACTTGGATGACAAGTAAAAACCTTGAATTCAACATCTCCAAGCTTGAATTCATTATTTTTGTCCCAAACTCTCTTTCTTTCCTATCTTCCCTCTTACTATAGAACATATCACCATCCTTCCAGTCTCTCAGACTCACAACGTAGGTGTCATCTTTAACTACTCACCATCTCTCATCCTCCATATTCACTCTTTTGACAAGGCTTGTCGATTTCACCTTTGCAACATCTCTTGAACACACCCTCTTCTCTCCTCTGACAATGCCACCTCTCTGGGCAGGCCCTCATCACCTACCTGGACTATCGTAACAGCCAGCTGATGGGTCTATCTGCCTCATCCCTGCAGTTCATCCTCCACTCAGTCACCACAGTGATTTTACTAAAGTGCAGCTCTGACCATGTAGCCCTCCCCACCCCTCAGCAGGACCACTGCCAGTTATCCTGAACCATGTTTTTCCACCAGAGTCCCGTGACTCTGAGGAGAGTGAGGCTGATGACTTTGCACAGCTCTGCCTCACTTAAATCCAATTCACCTGCAAGTCAAGACATTCACCCTCCTGATGTCATTGTCCTCTTCAACAATGAAGGACAAATAACAATATCTGTGCCCCGCCCCCCCAACATACAAATAACTATGTACAAACAAACTATATGAAGGATAAATTGGAGGCATTCTCAGAGTGAAGTCACTAAGCTTAAAGATGGCTGGGAAATGTTTCTAGCAGAAGATGAGATTTTAGCTGAGACTTGAAAGAAGCCAAGGATGCTATGAGATAGCTGTGAGGTGGGAGATAATTCTAGGCATGGGGGACAGCCAGCAAAAATGTGTAGAATCAGGAGATGCAATGTCTTGTGTAAGGAACAGCAAGGTGACCAGTGTCGTTTGATAGTAGAGTATATAGAAAAGAGTAAGGCATAAGAGACTAGAAAGGTAGGAAGGGGCCAGGTTACAAAGGTCTTGAAAAGCTAAACAGAGGATTTTTTATACTTGATCCTGGAAGTAATAAGGAACTAACTGAGTTTCCTGAATGGGGGAAACATGGTCAAACCTGTGCTTTAGGAAGGTCACTTTAATAGTTTAGTGGAAAATGGACTGAAGAGGGGAGATGCTTGAGGCAGGCAGACCCACCAGAAGAGTAACGCAATAGTCTAAGACTGAGGTGATGAGGGCCTCTGGTAGAATGGTAGCAGCGTCACAGGAAAGAAGAGGATATATACAAGAGATGTTACCAAGGTAGAAACTACAGGACTAATTCCCTACTGGGGAAGTGAGAATAAGAAGTTGAGGATGACACCTAGGTTATAAGCCTCGGTGACTGGGAAGATGTGGAACCTGGACAGTAACAAGGAAGTCAGGAAAAGGGAAGAGTTAGGGAAATAAAGGTAATGTTAAGTTTTGGACACACTGAATTTAAGATGCCAACAGGACATCCAGTTTTAGATGTCCAAAAGGTAATTTAAATTGCAAGAGTGGAGTTCAGGAGAGGTTAGGGCTGGACAAATAGGTCTGAAAACCATCTGCAAAACAGATGGTAACTAGCAGAAGTAGATGAGATCACAAAGTGAAGTAGTATAGAGGGAGATGAGAAAAGGATGCAGGACACAGGTATTTAGGGTACATACCTATGATTAGCAGGCTTGGAAGAAATACAGTAAAAGAAGCCTGAGAGGGAGTGGTATGACAGGTAGGAGGAGAAACAGGAGAGAAGAGGGCCATAAAAACTAGAGAGAAGAGGGTATCAAGGAGAAGAGGGTGATCAACAGTGTCAAGGGCTGAAGAGCCATCAAGAAAGATGAGGATTGAGAAAACAACATCAGATTTGGCAATTAAGAGGTCCTTGATGACTTTTGAGAGAATAGCTTCAATGAATGATGAGGTCAGAAGACAGATTTCAGAGAAAAACTAACTAACCCTAACTAAAAGTTTCTCTCCTTTGTCAAATTTTCCCCTAGAGCACTTGATCTGGATCTCTCCTATTCCTCTCTTAAGTCTGACACTGTATTGTGCTTATCTTTGTTTATGTCATCATCACCTGGGCCAGGCCTCTACAACATAGGGCCACCTGAACCCACCAAAGGATTTCTGGGGGTCCTTGAAAAATGCAGAAAATGTAAAACAGGCCTGTATAACACCCCCCATGAGCTGCTTTGATAGGCCACAAGTAGCCTGAGGGCCATAAGTAGCCCAAGGGCTGTATGTTGTGCAGGCCTGCCCTAGGCTCTCTGAAGGAAAAAATGGTCATTTCTCATTTTTGTTCCCCCAATGCCTCACAGTTTCTTGCAGAGGAGGCACTGAATAAATGGTATGCTGAACTGCAATGAAGTGACCCCCTGAATAACTCCCACTACCCACACTCTACATTCCTGTTTGAGAGCTTCCCTTCACTGCCTGGCACATCCAATGAAATCATGGATCCCTCAAAGGATCAAAGGATTCCTCAAAACTGCCAACCCAGGTCTGCCCAGGTCTGCAAAGGTTTTGTTTTCAGTGTGTGGAAACGTACATTAAAAGCGTGTGGACAACCTTAGCAGCTGGTGATGCCATGGGGAGCTCTCTAACAGTTGCATGAATTCAGTGCAGTCACAGTATCTGAAAACATGGTTCTGGTCCTCAGAGGGAATTTCAAAATCTTTTTTTTCAGGAGACACATCCCTTCCATCTCTGTAATAAGGGATGCTTAAGAAAAGTCAAAGGACAGACCGATCTTGGAGCCTAGGGAGTTGAAATGAAGTTAGAAGATCCCCTAACAGGGAAGGCATAAGCTGTTGATGTTCACGCGGGGAATTATAATGAGAACTAAAGCAGGCATGGAGTGGAAACATCATAGCCAAGAAAGGACAAAAGCTCTTCTCCCCACCTATGATCCCTCTACTCTCCATTTTTAATTCCTAAATGCTACCACAGCCCAGCTGGGCTTTGTACATTACCTGAAAGGTGACCGTACTGTAGTTAAGCATGAGGAGATTCTTGCTAACAACATGTTCTGAAAATGATAAAAAGTTCTATAGTTTCTGAAAACTATAAAAAGTGGGAAAGGAGATGTTACAGGTGCACAAATACCTGGTGGGTAATCATTTATGTATATGCTTTGGTGTGATGGAATACATGCTGAACTTGGGGGCAGGAGACTTGGAATCTAATCCTGGCTCAAACCTCTCTCATTCTTGGTGTCAAGATCTGTAAAATGGGGATAATAACATCTGCATTACCTACAGGACTGTTGTAAGGAAAGCATTCTGCTAAAAATTTTCACAATTATCATTTTTATAAATAAACCACTGTGATCAGCAACATTAATAAGTATTCGCCATTTATTCTTCCAAGATGGAGAACATACCATGCAAAGAACATACCTGTGATTTTAATATTACAAGGAATGCCAAAAGGTGACTCTCCCACAGTTCCAGATGTCCCACCCCATCTGCATGCTCGCCCGAGGTCAAGTTTCTGTTGCATGAACTAAAAACAAACAAAAAACCAAACCATGTCTTTAGCACCTACTTCTACCATGTGAAAAAAATTTTTTTTCTGTTTTTAGTTTTTAAAATTCACTTGCATATAAACAGAAACATCTGTACATGTCATCTTACGTTAAGCATTTTCTTCTATTAGGGTTTTTTCGTTTCCCCCTCCCCATTTTAAAAGTTATATTTGCTTCTCAGAGGCTGCTCAGTTTCTTCAATTTGAAATCCACATAATGTGTCTATTCTCTTGATGTAAAAGCATGTTATTAAAGAAGAGCTGGCCTCAATTCATTCCCTCAAGTTAACTTCAGAGTGGTAAATTTCATGTTTCATTACCCGTTCAGTGATGGCCTGGAAGCTGTAGAGTCTGATCAGTCCCGAATTATGCATTACAATCAACATTCCATGAGAAATCGTGGCATCCGTGACACCACTCCCAAAAATCTGGGAAGAAAAGGCAGAGTTCATCTGTGAGAAACCCCTGAGAAAACACTGTCCCTCTCACAGGGGCTACTGATGCATCATACTGCTTTGACAGACTTGTTTACTATTCAAATTACTCATCTAGACCTGCTGCCTGTTGTTTTAATTCCTGGATTAAAAAAAATAATTCAGCACTTCTTAGTAATCTATGGAATAATGGGTCTGTGACAGCAGAGAGCTGGAAAATCAGCTACAGAGCTGAGGTGTTATTAGGGGTGAACTACTGGAGTCTAAGGCTCTGAACACTAATGGGATTGGCGTGTGCACAATGAGTGGAGAACATACTCCTTAATGATGCAGCTGCATTCATTTGGTTCAGAGAGCTTTGTGCATACCCATTAAAAGCAACCCTATTCTCCATGGAAATATGAATACATTTTGTCCATCTAATTCTTAATGGATACCACTCTGCCATGCATGTACTGCCAGGTGCCCATTCTTCATGCTAAAATGTTCTTTATAAAAAGAGATTTTTATTTAGCTAATCAATGGTGGAGAGATTGGATCTGGAAAACTAATTCAAATGAAAAGCAGCCAATTCCGGAATTTCACCCATCCTTTTGTTCTTTAAATCTCTAATACTGTTTGGTTTTTCAGTAGCTTTATGGGGCCCAGGTCTTTTTCTCTAAACAGTCATGTTAAAAACCACCAACAGCAAAACTTACAAGGAAATGCAGCATGAATGGAACTAATGTAGTGATTTAGATTTCTATGAATGTCTTCATAATGCATTCTATGAATGTTCCTTAAATTCTTTACAAATAAACTAGATTCTGTACATGTAAAACAATTAAAGGCCAGCATAGGATAATATACACAGCAGGGAAAAACAGTTTGAAATTAATAAGTTTCTACCTTAAAGATTAATTACATTTGCTTAAGATTATTTGCTTTAGTGGTATGGAGGAATCGGTGAATCTCATTTTCAATGTGAAATATAACTCTAATAGAAATTAAATGCATATTTGTGTGCACATGTATACAATGCACATGTGTATATATATATATATATGCACATGATAAACAGAAAACATATTTCTATATGCACACATGTATATATCTTCTATTATATATATATGAACACACATACACACATGTCTTCTAGATGCTAGAAACGGGTCTCCTACTACTACTTGATCTTAACTTCTTGTTGGCTATTCAAATCACCTCTCTATCTGTGGTGCCTCAATTTCTGGTTTTGTTTTAAAAAAATAATTCCGTACTTCTTAGTAAAAACAAAAAAAGAAAAAAACCTCTGTGAATTAAGTAGGTACTTAATAAATGCATACAGAATAATTTAATACACAGAAATTGGATTTAGAAATAGCCACTCATCCAGAATGAATAGCAATTTATGCTAGAGGAATAAAAGACTATTGATTCTATATAATCTGAAGGCAAGCTGCCAAAAAAGTGTTGCTTTTTAAACGAGCAGGTGAAATTTTTGAACTTATGTACAAAGCTAACATAGGTAACAGAATAAACTTTGAGACAGCCACTCTCAAGTTAAGATAAGATTCTGTTTCCATCTTCGTATTTCTCCACATTTAGCCACGCTTTAATGAATGCTCTGATAAACATACTTCATTAGTTATTCAATATTAGAAGATATTATTTTGTTCATTAACACAACCACCACCATCTGCTTCTTAACATCTCTATATAAAACAAACAGAAGGAGGGTTAATCGACTTTAGAAAGTGAGGAGTAAGATACACTGTCTTCCCAAGTCTAGCACTCTACAGCATTCTTCATACAAAATAGATTGGCCCAAATGCATACCAATGTAAGGCACAATGTGAGATGCTAGGGATACAAGAAACAACAACAAAAACAAAACAGGGCTTGCCCTCCAGGATCTTAACATTTTACTGAAGGAAACATGGAATATAACATGTACATTGAAAAGTATCATCCAAGGAAGGGTGCAAAGAGGCAAGAAGAAGATGAGGCAAAGAGCCCTTGGAAAAGCACCAATAACTGGGAAGGAACAGGTCATGCTCCATAAAGGAGGCAGGAGTGCAATTCAGGCATGAGGGCTCATGGGACTGCATGGAGGTGGCAGATGGATTTGTACCATGTTTCAGCTAACTCTCTACCAAATAGATTCTCACAGGTCATTAACGTGCTGTCATTAGCCATCATTACAGATTCCTCAATATTGCTGTTTGTGCTTAAACACTATACTATTTTCAAATGTTATTCAGGAGGCAAAGGAAAAGCCACATGAGTCATGTTAGTTATGAATCACAGCTCTGAACCTGCTCTCAGTGTGCTTCTGACTCTGTTAAAGGAGTCAAAACACTATTTCCTCTAAGGATTGAAGCCAGTCATCTTCAGGCCTGAAGGCTGTGAAACCTTTCCACATTATTCTTCTTATCCTTAGAACCTTAATTTCTAGTGGTGTTGGGGTAGGGCTTGGACGTGATGGAGTAGAAACAAATTCAAAGCATGTCCACCATCTCTACAGTTTGCCTTGTGGAATCTTAGCAACTATAAGTCCCAAAGCAACGTTTTTCAGTGGTACATATAGCACTGACTGGCTTATTGGCTTTTTTTTTTACCTTCAAAGACACTAAAACTCCAAAAAAAATACCCTTGCCATTTCCCTGTTCTCTTTCATAGATGAGCTAGGAATTTATTTATTTTTTTTTGGTGAGGCAATTGAGGTTAAGTTACTTGCCCAGCTGGTGGGTCTGAGGCCGGATATGAACTCAGGTCCTCCTGACTCCAGGGCCGGTGCTCTCTCCACTGCGCCATTTCAACATCTGAGCCTGTAGGTTGCTACTTGTGTTCTAAATCAAACCACTTCTCAGCCCTTAGTCAAACCAGATACTATCTATGTAAGATAAACACTTTTTATATGCTATTACCCCCTTGATTCTGATTTTGGAAGAATCTTGCCTAACACCCCGCTACCCAGGGCTATACTCAGATCATTAGAATGTTCTTCTTCCCATCAAAATTTCCTTTAAAAAACTAAGAGACTCTTGTTCTAAAGGAGCCTTGAAAAACAAAACACATATCCCTGGGTCCAGAATCAAATGAGAGCAGGCAAAAACTGTGTAAGAGAAGCAAGGTACATATTTGATTTATTGTGTATCAGCTGTATTGCAGAGAAGAAAGGTATATTAGCAGACATGTTTGGTTGGCTGGGGAATTTATTTATGTGCCTGGCTGGGCTCACAGATTTGCTCCTTTGCACAACCAGTTATCACTGGCTACAAGTCAAGTAGTGGTTATCCTTCCCTTTAAATGAACAGCACAGACAAAAACCTAATGAGGCAACAATTAAATGGGGGTGGCACTCAATATTTTGCAACCAGAGACAAGCAAGGCTTACTGTAAGCCATTTTTATTATAGTTACCTGCATGTCATACTGAATTTAGAAACTAGCTCTTACTTTCTTATTGATCTCCAGCATTCCTATAAGTGAGAGAGGTATGACTCGAAACACAGCGAAGTACAACAGCACAGACGGTTGAATGCCTGCCTGGAAAGAAAGAGGGAAATTAGAGACAACCCACTAAGCACAGTTCCTATGCTTCAGGCAACACTATGTTTTCATAAAGGAGAAAATGCCCATCCATCTAGAATGCAACTTAGAAGCAAACAAGTTAAATTTGACATGAAGAAATAAGTATTCAAAGCATCCCCACAAAACCTTCCATCATTGGAGCATAAAATTGAAAAAATGATTGACACAAACCACAACCGTAAATATTTCTTAGCAGCAAGAGACTCTGGGTTTAGATCATAAACTGAAGCCCAGAAAACAAACAAGCTAATCAAGAGAAGCACAGCTATCAAGGCTCAATGTATCATTTAAAATTAGCATCATGTTGATAAGAACAGCAGGTCTTCAGGAAGAGAGGGGAAAAAAATTCCTCAAGAACTACAGTCTGAATTATTTCTCTTCTTAAAGAAGAGATTCTATAACTGGAAGGATACAGGCCAGCTCCTTTATACAGAATAATGAAATGCAAAAAATGTCCTCAAATGGATCTGTGGGACATCTTTTGGAATTTTCTGAGTCCCCAAGGATTTGTCGTGGAACTTTTCCATTCCTGAAGCAAGGGAAGATGGTAGTGTGGGTAGGACTATGGGGTAAAAAGGAAAAAAAGAGAGGCAATGATTTTTTAAAAAAAATCTTTCTTATACTATTGTGGACTGTGGAAATGGAATGAGGGACAGGGGAGCTACTTTTTATAGGGCCATAGATTCAGGGCTGGAAGGGACCGTGAGATGGTAAGTCCAAACTACTCTTTTAACAGATGAGGAATCTGAGATCAAAAGAGGTGAGGTAACTCACCTAAAGTCACAGAGGCAAGAAACAGTACAGCCAGGATTCAAACCCAGGTCCTTTGACCCAGATCCAACTCTTTTTTCCTGTACCACACTACTTCTAAAGCAGGCAAGAGAAGGGTCCTGGAGACAACATGTGACAATTACTTTGCAAACCTTAAAAGTGCTATACAGATGAGCTATTCTTCTTCTTCAAGGGAAAGATATGGATCCACTTGAGCTTTGCATGTGAGAGGAGACAGGGAAAAGGATTAGAGAAAGCTTATGTATGGGAGGAATCAGTTAACAGACATTTACCAAGCACTTACTATGTGTTATGCACACTGCTAAGCTCTAGGGATACAAAGAAAGGCAAAAACACGATGTTTGTCTTCAAGGAGTCCACACTGTAAATGGGGGAGACTAAGTAAATAACTAGGTGTGTATACACATGTTACACACACACACACACACACACACACACACACACACACACACACACACACACACACACACACACACACGGCATATCCAGGAGCTGACACTAGCCAGCTGGGAGAAGGACTCTTCTAAAAGATGGGATGTGAGCTACACCTGGGAAGTCAGAGAAGGGAGATGGAACATCTTGTGAGAGACCAGCAAGAAGATGAAAAAGAAAGGAAGGGAAGCTTATGTACGGAAGAGATTATGAAGAGCTTTAAATACAAAACAGAATTTATGCTTGATTCTGGAAATAACAGGGAGCCCTGGAGTTTAATGAGTATGGAAGTAATATAATCAGACCTGCTCTTTAAGAAGATGTTTCACAATAATGGCCTGGAGTAGGGAGAGACTTGAGGCAGGCAGACAATTGCCACCAGAAGGCCACTGCAATAGTCTAGGCTTGAGGTAATGAGGGCCTGAACCAGGGGGCAGCCATGTAGGTGGAGAGAAGGGATGTTGTGAAGGTAGAGATGACAAGGCCTCCCAACTAATCCGATACATGATTGGAGTTTAAGTGAGAATAGGATGACACTGAAGCTGCTGCCATCTTGGGTGACTGGGAGGACAGATGGTGCCCTCAATAGTAACAGGGAAGTTGAGAAGAGAGGACAGTTTTGGGGAAAAGGTAATGAGTTCAGTTTTGGACATGTTAAGTTTGAAGTTTCTGCAGCATCTTAAGTTAGAGAGGCAGGGGCAGCTAGGTGGCACAGTGGATAGAGCACTGATCCTGGAGTCAGGAGGACCTAAGTTCAAATCCAGCCTCAGACACATAACACTTACTAGCTGTGTGACTCTGGGCAAGTCACTTAACCCCAACTGCCTCACCAAAAAAAAAATGGTCCCTTAAGTTAGAGAGGCAGCTAGTGATAGGAGACTGGAATTCAGAAGATCAGAACTGGATATATAGATCTGGGTATCATCTGTATAGAGATGACAACTGAACCCATGGGAGATAATGAGATCTCAAAATAAGACATTATAGAATGAAAATGAGACCACCCTTACCCAGCATAGGATAAAACTGCGGGGGCATGTTCACATATAGTGGATGTGACTTGGACAAAAAACCAGCACAAGAGATTGAGAAGTAGATGAAAGCAGGAAAAAAAAAGACTATTTGGCAAAGGTCATATGAAAGAGGGAAGAAATGAGAGAAGAAATAAAAGGCAGTGTTCAAATCATGAAGGCTGTGAAGCCAAGAGTAAGGTACACAGACCTGACATAGGAGGCAACAGGGAGTGAAAAACAGACAGGTTTTAAATGATGGGAAAAGAGAAGAGACTTCAGGAGGCATTTTATTTTACAAAAATAAGACACTACGCAAAGGTAGGTAGAGGTCAACATGCTGATTTGTTGGAGTCAAGAGCTACTGAATTCAATTCCTGCCTTGGACACTTATTAGGTGTGTGACTCTGGGTAAACTGCCTGACTCAGTTTCCTCAAATGTAAACTGGGGATAGTATTAACTCCTACCTCCCAAGGTTGTTGTGAGGATAAACTATTAGTAAAGTACCTTAAAGTATTTTATTATTATATATCATTATTGCTCCCTCTGACATTCTTAATTTCTCCCTTTCTACTGGCTCCTTCTGTGATATTGTTATTTAAATATTCCCACATCCCCCCCATCCTTAAAAAAAAAAAACAACCCTGCATTTGACTCTAGTAGCCCTGCTAGTAGTCTCTGATATCTCTCCTCCTCTTCTTGGCTAAACTCCTTGAGAAAGTCATCTACATTGGGTGACTCCACTTCCTCTCCTCTCCCTCACTTCTACACTTTCTGAAATCTGGCTTCTGACATCATCATCATCAACTGAAACCACTCTCTCAAATGTTGCCAGTGATCTCTTCTTTGCCAAATCTAATGGCCTTTTCTCATAGTCATCCTTTTTTACTTCACTGCAGCCTCTAACGCTGCAAATCACCTTCTTCTCCAGGATATTCTGTCCTACCTCTCCTAGGTTTTTGTGACACTACTCTCTTCTGGTTATTTTCTTATCTATCCCATCACTTCTCAATCTCCTTTTCTGGATCTTCATTCAGGTCATACCATGTGTATCCTCCAAGGTTCTTTCCTGAATTCATTTCTGTTCTCCCTCTATACTATCTCACTAGTTGATCTCATTAGCTCCCCTGAATTCAGTTATTATCTCTATGCAGCCCTAGTCTCTCTCCTGAGTTCCAATCTCCAAATGCCTCTTGGATGTCTTGAACTGGATGTCCTACAGGCATTTCAAACTTAAATATCTAAAGTAGAATTCATTCCCCCCAACCCACCCCTCTTCCCAACTTATCACAGTTGATTGTACCACATTCCTCCAATCACCCAATTCTGTGACCTCAGTGCTACTCTCTTACTCAATAAACTCCATTGGTTGCCCATTACCTCCAGGATAAAACATTAAACTCTCCATTTGTAATTTCAGTTCTTCACAATCCTCCTTACCTTTTCAGTCTTCTTACACCCTCCTCCCATCCACATACTCTATGATCCAGTGACCCAGGCCTTTGTGCTCTTCCTCCCACAGGATGTTTATCTCCCTTCTCCATATCTTTTCATTGGCTGTCCCCCATGCCTGGAATGCTGTCCCTTCTCACCTCTGCCTCCTAACTCTCCTGGCTTTCTCTAAGACTCAGCACAAATCCCAGCTTCTGAGTCTTTCCCCAGCTGCTACCACCTTTCTCTCTTACCTTCCATTATTTTGCCTTTTCTATGTTTTTTGGATGTATCTATTTATTTTTGGTCTCCCCGATTTGAATGCGGACTTCTTAAGGTTAGGGATTTGTGTTTTAGTCTTTCTTTGTATCCTTACCACTTAGCAATATGCTTGGCACATGGTAATTGCTTAAAAAAAATGCTTACTGACTAACAGGTGGTAACAAGATGGCAAAAGAATGGTGTGGAATCAAAAACGGCACTATGGCTCTCCACAGAGAAACCAGTCATTATGAGACTAAAGATAAAATATTGCAATATTCATTAAAAAATTAGTCTTTCAACTAAAAATAAGGCATTGAATAAAAGAAAACCAGTAAATAATGAGGAAATTCCCACTATCAACCTCTAAAGCATATCTTGAAATCTTAGGGTTATTAGTTTTATTGTAACATTTCTTCTATGGGCTTCTATAGACAAAAACCTTACTGGTCTGACTTTTTCAACCAACCAAAAAGCTAAACATATATATTTACCTGGCGTGCCAGAGAAGTGGCTTTGCTCTGAGCTGATTTGACAACAATGACCTCTTGGGGAGTGTCCCAGTTCAAATATCTTTTTGAAAGAAAAAAAAGAGGTTTGGGATCAGCTTTTAGTATATTTTTATTCAACCATGATGGATACACCATATTACAAGGCAATGATCTTTAACTAAGGGTGGGCTGTGGTGAGGATCAAATGAGAGATTTATAAAAACATTTAGCACAGTACCTGCCTCATAGTAGGTGCTTAATTAATGCTTGCTCCTTCCCCCCCCCCAAGACAAAATATTTTATTAAATATTTATAAATTGCTGAAAAGTTCCCCTGGAATCCAGAAAATGGTAACTTGAAATGTATATGTCTCTTGTAATAATTTTTGAGTTTTGGTATTTTAAAATACTGTTTGAACTACCAGTATCAAAAAATGATAAAGCAAAACAAGCATTTACTTTTAAAATGGAAATCTTGTAAAAACCCTAAGTTAAAAAATGTTGTTCTATTTCAGATGTCACACGCACATCTGTTTCAAAATCTATTTTGCTTAGTTGCCCGCTACCAGCATTACACTGGACCACCTCAGTTAGATGTAATTCTTCCCTCCTCTGAACTAATTTTCTATTTTTTACTTCTCTTGTTTCACTTCACATTCTACCTTTAATTATAGTAATTTGTTGATTCTCCTACTAGACTATAAGATCAATGAGGACAGGGATGGTTTCTTACTATTTGTTTTTTATCCCCCACAGCCTTTGGCACCTGGCCTTACACAAGGGATCACAGAGCTAGAGCTGGAAAAGCCCTCCTTTAGAGACCACTTAGCCAACCCTCTCACTTTACAGATGAGAAAATAGGCTCAGAGGGGTTAAAGGACTTGCCTAAGGTCACAATGGTGGTGCAACAGGTTGTATTTGAACCCAGCACTTCATGACTCTAAGTTCAGTGCTCTCTCCACTACACTAGACTGCCATTCAAAAACACAATGCATAAGAGGATGCATGAGTATTTATTGAATGAATTAACAAATCAAACTTTTAAAACAAAATGATCTTTAGGAGAAACAGCCTGAAATTTGATGATTAAAAAAAAAACAAAATGGGGCAGCTAGGTGGTGCAATGGATAGAGCACCAGCCCTGGACTCAGGAGAACCTGAGTTCAAATCCGGCCTCACACACATAACACTTCCTAGCTGTGCGACTCTGGGCAAGTCACTTAATCCCAACTGCCTCACCAAAAACAAAATAAAACAAACAAAAACACCCCCCCAACAACCTAGTTTAAATTTCATCCTACAGTTTAAGAAATAAAATTTACCTAAGAGACAGGCCAGGGAAACAAAGGGGATGGTGTTAGGAACTCAAATGCTAGTTATGTGTGGGGAACTATATCAAAAGGAGAGCTTGATACACTATAAATCATAAGTCCTAGAAAATAAATATTAGCGTCCTTAGTAATAAAAACTTGGTCTTAAAAGCGACTAAGTTTCATACCTGAATTTGCAAAAAGAAGCAAGATAAACTTTCTCCAGTACTTCTCCATTATTTGCAGATATACGAAGTAGCCAGTTATGAGCAGTCAGTGCTATGAGAGAAGACCTATAATCTGATGGATTGGGCAGTATGTCCCCCTAGACAAAAAATAAGTGAGGTGTGAAAAGTCTGAATTTAGCCACGAACAAGGGATACTGCCTAGCATCCAAAGAAAACAGCTCAACTCACAAGAAAAATTCAAACAAATAAGCAGCCTAGGAGAGAGGCACATTAAATGCTCTGAGTATAGCAGCCCTATTTATTAGGATGGAAGAGAGCTAAGGTTGTATATATATAAAGTTGCATTCATTAATAACTCCTAAAAGTAGATCTGTCATGGAAATATGTCTGAAATTTGGCAATTAAGTGTCACATGGAAGAATTTACCTTATTTCTTCTGTCTTCCTTCCTTGCTCTGTATAGACTTATTTTACTTCAAAACTTTGTAATATGCCTAAGAAACAAATTATACTAATTGTTGTTGGTTCTATTCTGGTCTCAATTAAAAAATGCATTTTGGAACTAAAAGGCAAAAGAGGAAGAAGAGGCAGACGTTCATATAGTGTAGCCATCCTCTTTTTACTCTCAATCAATGACTCTATCCAACAGTGTAGCTGCTGTGTCACACTAGAAGTAGCCCCTACTCTCATTGAGCAGCTGCCACAAGGTGGAAGTCTAATGCAACAAAAGGGAGTAGAGGGGAGGGAGACTGAATTGGGTTTATTGGATAAGAATGTGGCTCTAAGAAGAAAGGTCAAGGGAAATGAAAAATTGCAGATCTAGCTTTTAGCTAGTGTTTCCTTAGGCTGAGTAGGAAGGCTATGCAGAGAACAGGAAATAGGCTCTTAATGAACAGTTGTTAAATGAATGGTTAAATATATTTCACATGGCTATGTGAACTTTCCCCTTTTCCAAATGTCAGGAAAAATTAAAAAAAACAAAACCCAAACCCTTTTTGCATATCTGTTATATATTGAGGTTATCACTATAGAAATATTCAACAATGCCTTGGTACCAATTCACTTTAAGCTACACACTGACTATACTGGCATCCATTTGCAATGCTTTCAATGCCAGAGAATATTATTATAGATCACAGACCTCGACTTGGAAGGAACCATCTAGTCCAAACCCTCTACCATCTCCCACCCCATTTGATCCATTGGGTTCAAATGTCTTATCTAAGCCTAAATGCTAATGGCATACCTAGACTGTGAAAAGCTTTAGAAGTAGAATACTATTAATAGTATATGTTTCATTTTTGTCTTCAAATTTCCAGTGCCTAGAAGTAGGCATTGCCCAAAGTGGGGCATTCGATAAATGCTTTCTGATTGACAAAGTACTTTTGGATATTTTTCCCATGAAAAAATTTCTTCCACTTCAAATAAGAAAAAAAGATTGGAGGCAAAATTAGGAATTGGGTAATGATATCTCCCACTTACACATCACTATCCTTATTTTCAGTAGTAGTTTATCCTGGCATTGTCCAAAAATGCAATTAAGTACTGAAGAGAAAGCCTTGCAACCATTAAAATAGTTCAGCAGTAAAGAGCTCAGAGATCCAAATATATCCACTCAAAAATAGCTGTTTAAATGCCATGAGTTTTATTTGACTTTCATTCTGATATAGTATAAACTACTTCTTTGCAAAATAAAACAAACCAAGCCATTTTTATGGTTAAAGTTTAGATTTGATATTTTACTTTGCATCTTCAGATGCTGAGGCCTATTTCTGTAATGTGCTACTAGCTGTGTGCTCTTGGTCAAGTTACTTCTCTGGGACCCAGTTTTCTATGTTTTTTAAAAGAAACATTTATTATATATTTATTTTTAACATTCATTTAGAAAAAAATTCTGAGTTCCAAATTCTCTCCCTCTCTCCAATCCCTCCCCCACCCATTGAGAAGGCAAGAAATGTGATATCAATTACACATGTAAAATCATGCAAAACATATTTCCATTTTAGCCATGTTGCCAAAGAAAAAAAAGCAAGAAAAATAAAGGGAAAACATTATGCTGCAATCTGCACTCAGACTTCATCAGTTCTCTCTGGAGGTGGATAACATTTTTCATCATGAGTTCTTTGGGACCGTCCTGGATCACTGCATTGATGAAAACAGCTACATTATTCACATTTGATCACTGTATCATATTGCTGTTACTGTGTACAATGTTCTCCTGGCTTTGGTCACTTCATTTTGAATCATTTCATGTAAGTATTCCCAGGTTTTCTGAAACCATCCTGCTTATCACTTCTTACACCACAGTAGTATTCCATCACAATCATATACCATAACTTGGTATGCCCCAAATGATGGGCATCCCCTCAATTTCGAATTCTTTGCCACACAAAAAGAACTCCTATATATATTTTTATACAAATATGTACAGACCCAGCAGTGGTACTGCTGTAAAAGGGTATGCCCAGTTTTATAGCCTTTTGGGCATAGTTCCAAATTGTTTTCCAAAATGGCTGGACCAGTTCACAATTCCATCAATAGTGCAGTAGCATCCTGACTTTTCCACATCCTTTCCAACACTTGTCATTTTTCTTCTCTGTCATGTTAGCCAAGGTATGAGGTGGTATCTCACAGTTATTTTAACTTGCATTTCTCTAATCAATAGTGATTTAGAACATTTTTATGACTATAGATAGCTTTTACTTCTTCTGAAAACTGCCTGTTCATATCCTTGACCATTTATTAACTGGGGAATGACTTGTATTTTTATAAATTTGACTCAGTTCCCTTATATATTTGAGAAATGAGGCCTTTATCAGAGAAACTTGCTACAAAATTTCCCCCCAGTTTCCTGCTTTCCTTTGATTGTTGACTGCATTGGTTTTGTTTGCACAAAATTATCCATTTTACTTCCCATGACCTTTCTATCTCTCGTTTTGTCATAAATTCTTCCCTTTTCCATAGACCCAGCAAGTAAAATTTTCCATGCTCCTCTAATTTGCTTATATCACCCTTTATGTACCCATTTTCCAGGCTTTTAAAAGAGAGGGAGGCTGGACTAGATGATCTCAAAGGCCCCTTCTTCCAGTACTAACACTTTATGGTTCTACATCCATGATGTTTTGAGCCAACATATGTTTAAAAAAAACTGTAAATGCTATTGTAAAAATGAACTGTTTTCCTAAGGAATACATCAATAGAGTAATAGAAGAAAGTTTCCAGATGTCTGAGTTGTCAACTGCAAAAGAATTATTTTATTCCACCTTTTCTCTTGATGAAGGGCAGATTCATATTATATGTTCATTTGAAAGTATAACAGTTCAAACAGCCATGCAATATGATTTTTCCAATTAAACAAACACTGTATCATCACGCTGTCAGGACAGTAAATACAATGATAATTTTTGTTAAATTTAGGGTAATGAAGCTAGTGATACAGCTTCATATTATTAAAATTTTAACCTTTGAAATTTTGACCTGTGCTCTCACTAGTTCTTAAAAGCTTTAAATATGAAAATGGATTTTGTTGCAAATACTAATTAAAAATGAAAGTCTTTGTTAAACTATGGAAATTTGTTAATATTTGTTGTTTTGTGATACACATGGCAATCAAAATAATCACTTTTTGAGTTACTTGAATTTTCAGAAGATAACTCCCTGCCGAGTTTCTTCAATCATAGATTATGTCAAATTTCTCTCCTAGCTCTAACACTGTGATAAGTGTCTTTTTGCCCCAAATCAACAGTAAACAGTCTTTCTAGAATAAAACAACTGAATTTTTTTTTACATTTACTAGAGGATTCTGGGGAAAAGAATTCTTACCACGGGGCATTCCCACAATAAAGCGTCCTCTATTTTTTCTGATTTAGAACACTTCGGCATCTCGTAACGCTTTCTTGGCTCTGCTGCAACACTGAGGAAAAATGATAAGAAATAATGACTCTTCTTATGAAATTCCATACTGTTTATAGCCTGTTTTATCCATTTTGACTGGTATGAATTGCTCCTTTACGGTTCTTTATTTTCATGAAGTGCCACCCTGACCTCATGCCACACAGAATGAAAAGATTTCTTTTTCTCCTGAGAAATCTGCAGCAACCTTTCTTCTCTGAATAATTCCAGTTTAAAAATAAGTACCATTTAAACAAGGGAAATATACTAATAGTGTGATGTTCCGCAAGTCAATTATTCCCTCTGAGCCTCTTTCTTCCACTGTAAAATGGGGGGTGGAGGTGGAAGAAGCACCTTCGTTACAAAGTTGTGACATCAGATGAGATATGGAAAGAGCTTTGAGTGCAATGTAAAGGTGAGCTCCTGTTAGTCTTCAGGAGTACCTTATTTGGGACACCTTATTTGGGAGAAGCAGGTGACTATTTTATTCATTTTTGCCAGTCCATCAATGCTAAGACTGAGCTGAGTAGCATAGGATTGAAAATAAGGCTGTATTTAATGACAATTTTTGGTGTTTATCACAACCTTCTAACAAGAGATACCAAATCAACACTATCCATTCACAAAAATGAATGAAATGGTTTCAAAACTAACCCTAATCATCTTGGTAACTGGTTACTGTTAACCTACTACCTTTTACATTTATGTGATGTGAAACACTATCAGCATTCTGTTATTTCATTTATTTATTCAAGATCTGTGATATTTCACTGGTAGAGGAAATACTTATCAGTGCTGGCTAGAAACTATTCTGCAATATAAATCTTAAAGAGTCTTGACAGGAGGCACTGAGAGGTTGTGACTTTCTCCAGGTTACACAGCCCTGAATGTGTCTAAAGCAGGACTGGAATCCAGGCCATCCTGATTCTGAGCCCAATTTTCTATCTGGTAGTTGATGCAACCTCTCACCTACATGATAGTTTTAATTTAGAATGCTTTAATTTAGAATTTAGAGCGCTGAACAACAGATAATTCGAGACTCAAACATTTAAAAATTACATATTAGGCCACCAGACTTTATCTGGAACTCATCAACCCTCCCCTCTTCCCAACTTGTCTCATATTGCTATCTCACCAAGCACAAGGTGGCACTTCTGTTCTGCAGAAATTCTGGGGCAGTTTAGAATCAGGATGAAGTGAGGTGTAATAAGTGTGAATTTTCACAAAAGAATCACCTGCTGACACAGCACCGGTAATTGTCAAAATATATTCTTCCTCTCTCATAAGCAATAGGTGATTTAGAATGAGTTGTCCAAACATTCTTGAATTTAGTACTTTTCTGAAAGATAGAATGGATTCTGTATTACAGTTTGGTCAAGAATTTGTTCATGTTCCTCTCAAAAGACAGGGCACTAACTTAAAATTAGCTAGCCTAATGTGTAATGGATGCTTTCTTAAGTAAAAAGAAACAGATTTTAACAGTGCCTGGCAACTGGTAAATCATTCTCTACTGATACTTTTACATTAAAATGTGACAGCATGCCTACTGTGGATATTAAAATTAGTCAGCAAGGCTTTTGGGGAAAGAGCCTTGAAAAAAGTTAAACTAGCATAAAAGAACAGTGACTAGGCACACACTAAGCAATAGAACAGGCAGTTCAGTACATAAATAGCAAAGCTTCTGCTTTGCTTTGCGTCAACCTTTTCAGCCCTTGGTGCTGGGGAGGATTAGGCTGGAGGCTTAGCTGAGTCCAGGTGGAAGTGGGAGTTTGCTTGATCTGAACAGGTTGTAGAGAAATAGCTTGTGAGCACTTTGTCCGGTTTTTAATTGCTTTTGATCCTTCCTTACTTTCCCCTCAGGTATCTGTTGCAATGTCACTCATTACTGTCAGTCATACTTAAGGAAGAAATCAAATGAAAGCATTTAGAAGCTCAATTAATAGTGCATTAATCAATCTCCTCATTTCAAGGCCCTTCAGCGCCCCTCCTCTTTACCGCTTCCTTAACCACAGATCATCTAGGGAAACCATTCAAAACAACCCAATTTGCTTCCTCCTCCAACCCCACCCACTCAACTCTAAGGGAAACCAATCGCCTCCTCCCGGAGGGGGTGGGGGTGGAGGGGGGGGGAAATCTTTCTTTAACTGATCACAGCAGAATAAAAATTCTGATCAAAGCAATGATCAACCATGATTCTCGAGGCCGGATAATGAAGTATTCGACCCACTTCCAGAAAGAGAGGTGATGGACTCAAGGGGAAGAAAAAGACTTTTTTTTTTCCAGACAAAACCATTGATGGAATTTTTTTTGTTTGACTATGCATATTTATTGCAAGTGCATTTTTTTTCTTTTTCAGTTTGGTGAGAGGGAGTAGCAAAAAAAAAAAATTAAAAAAAAAGATCATTGAAGCAAAGAAGAAAATAGGTCAGAAAGAAGCACAGACAAGCAGGACAGCTTTGAAAATCACTTGATGAATTCATGATGTATTTCTAAAAAAAAGCAATGTACATAATTGAGACCCACAGTTTTACGTACAACCCTCTTTTGCTACGTATATGGGAAATACATTTTATTTGGTGTTTAAATTCAGGATAAATAATTTTAAATGATATTTTTAAAAATTGCTTTCCATTAGAGATGATGCATTCATAAGTTTCAAAAGGACAGCTGCAGAGGGGGTGGAAGGGTAAAAAATAATCACCAGTTACCTGGCACACCAGCTTCCTCAGGATCCCCAGGTTTGTCCTCTGAACCATCCCAGCATCATTGGTGAAAAAGCCCTGGGCCCTCCTGCTCAGCTGGCTGCAGATGTTGGGCTTCCCGCAGGCCCGAGGGCGCCCGGCGGCCGATTCCGGGCACATCTGGGGAGGTGGTCTGACCCGGGCTCGCGCGCGCGGAGGTCCCCCCAGGGCTGGGCAGGGGCACGAAGGCCGGGCTGGCGGGGGATTCAGAGAAGAGAGCGGACATCACTCCCCCGCGGGCCGAGGCCCGGGCCCGACCCGGTGCATCTCGGTCTCCCCACCCCCTCGCCCGAGGAAAAGCAGCCCTCTAATCCCAGGCTCCGAGCTCTCCCGGGAGGGTGGGGGGGATCGGGGGGGGGGGCGGCGCTGGATTGGGCCCAGGGCAGATAGGAGCAGGTCGTGTAGAGGAGGGGCTGGGCCGAAGGGGAGCGATTAGGTTAATCCGTGCTTGGCACTGGGGTCCAGAGCCCCGGGGCAGATGACCCGGAGCCGGACGGGTGGCCTACATTGCAGCAAGGCCGTCTAGGCGGGCGGAATGAGGGAAAGGAAATAGACCCACTTCCCGGCGGCCCCGAGGCCCGGCGGCCGTGGCCAGAAGTAGTAGTAGAGGATGCTCCAAGACCCAGCTCAAGCGGCGCTCCCTCCCATCCCCCTCCCCCACCCGACCAGGGCACCCAGAGGAGAACAAAAAGAGGACGCCTCCCCACCTTCGGCCTACGAGTGCCGCTAGCTGCCCCGGGAAATGTAGTTTCTGACTCTCACGGAAAAGGCTTCCGGACTACAATTCCCATCAGGCTCTACGCGCAGAGGGCGGGGAAGAGGAAATTGTCCCAGCCCCGGCAGAGAGCCACGTGGCCCTTCCAACCCGGTCTTGCTAGGCTTGGGACCCGGGAGTTCAGGGTGGGTAGGTTCGCAGTGGAGGCGTCGGGGGGTGCCTAGTCTGGACTAGTGGGTGAGGAAGGAGGGTATTCTAGGGATTGGTCTGAGGCTGTGTACGTGGGATGCTCTGCGCTCCTCTTGCAGTCTCCTGTCCCCTTTAATACAGCGCGCTGTGTATCCCGACTCTGAGCCTCAGCTCACATCCTGGGTCAGAAACGGATAGGGGCGCTGTGTCCCGGCGTCTGAGCTCGCTCTTGTGCAAGCAGGGAGTGTCTTGTCTTAACCAGAGAAGCGAGCAGCTCATTAAAGGTATGTTACTCCTCCCTTGGCCCCTTCACTTTCATCCACGCCCCACTCCACCCTTTAAATCAGCTTCCTAGTCAATATCCAGTATTCACCAAACATTTATTAAAGTCTTTTGTGCGTCCACCACGCGTTGCTAGGCGTTCGGGATACAAACCAATCAAGGATTTATTAAGTGCCTACCAGGTACAGAACGCCGTGCTGGCCTCGGGATACAAGATACACAAGCATATAAAGAATGGAACGATGCCTATTGTCAAGGAACTTTCCTTCTAGTGGAAATAACAAGTACATAAAGACACATCTACAGCTTCAGTATAAAGTGAATAAAGACAAAAAAGTTGTTAAATGCAAGGTAGTTTGGGAGGGAGGACATTAGTATTTGGAAGGGGCCAGGAAAGCCCTGATGGCAGAAGACGGTGTTTGAGCTGTGTCTTAAATGAAGAGAGTGACTGTGAGGCCGAGGTGAGGAAGGAGGGTATTCTAGGCATTTGGGACTGACAGTTTACTTTATCAAACACTCACTATGTACTGGATACTGTGCTAAGTACAGAGGATTCTCCCCTCAGGGAGTTTACTCTCTGTTGGGGGAGATAAGCAAACATGACCAAGGAGGCTGGAAAGATAGGTTTGGGCCAGATTGTATAGAGCTTAAGGTATGGTGCCTGTCCATCAGTAGTTTATAATCTAATGAGGGATTATAGGATCACAGATTTATGTTGTAAGAGACTTTAGAATTCATCTGATCCAATACCCTCATTTAAGAAATTGAGGTGCAGAGAAGTGATATGCTCAAGGTCACATGGTAAGTGGCAGAACAGGGTTTGAAATCCAAGTCTTCTCAGTACAGATCGGTGTTCTTCTACACCAGGAGGTATGAGGTGGATATGCAAAAACTGAGTGCTAAATAAAGGAGAGGTGGAAACCAAAGTGCTTTAAGAGAACAAAGGATAGAGAATCACTTGTCTTGAGGAAGAGAGGAAGATGTTGAGGAGAGAAAGGAAAGAATTGATCATGACTTAAGGAAAAAGGAAAGCAAGTAGAGAGAAAGAGTAATACTTGGGTAGGATAAGGAGATGGCTAATGGGACAAGGTATCATAGAAGGTAGAAAAGAGTAGAATTAAGAGCTAAAAATGGTACTTTGGCCTCTGCCACTACCTCTCCCTCTAAGGGAGGAGGGAAGTTAGGATGTGAAGGTTATCTGCTGAAAGTAAAGAGGTTTTTGTTGTTCAGTCGTTTTAAGTCCTTTCTGAATCTTTTTTTTTTTAGGCAGTTGGGTTTAAGTGACTTGCCCAGGGTCACACAGCTAGTAAAAGTGTCAAGTGTTTGGTGGAGGCAGTATTTGAACTCAGGTCCTCCTGACTTCAGGGCTGGTGCTCTATCCACTATGCCACCTAGCTGCCCCCTTTCTGAGTCTTCTTGACCCCATTTGGGGTTTTCTTGGCAAAGGTACTGGAGTGGTTTGGCTCATTTTACAAATGAACTGAGGGTCACACAGCTAGGTCCAATTTGAACTCAGGAAGATGAGGCTTCCTGACTCCAGGCCCAGGACTCTATCCTGTGTCATCTAGCTGCCTCAGGGGTAGGATGGGGGCGGGGAATAAGGTAGAAAAGGGTTGGAACTAGGGAGTCCACAAAAGAATTAAAGGTTTGCTGAACATTAGTAAGCTCAGAGTTGATGTTTGATTGCTTTACTTCTCAGTTGGCATAATTAGGACAATAATCTGACTTCCCCTCAAAATGCTTGGAATCAGAGGAAACACATCAGGGGTTACCCAGAGTTGAGGATTTTCAAGGCAGAATAACAGAGGTGCTTGGAGTGGACTGTGTTTGGAACTAGGCACTGGGTTCTGGTCAGACCTTCTTAAATAGGAAAGTCACTTAATCTCTCTGAGCCTCAGTGACTACATCTATAAAATGGAAATGATAACACTGCTTGTACCACCAGCCTCCTGAGTTGTGAAAGTCATGTAATTCTTGAAGTTGTGAGCCCAGGTTTTACAGAACAAATCATTTTATTAAGAGGATTTGTTCTGTGAAGTCTGGATTCAAAGGGCTGCACTTGAGGACCTAGAGGGCCACATGTGGCCTCGAGGCCAAAGGTTCCCCATCCCTGTTCTAGGTTAATAATGGGCACAGACTTGAAAGACTGACCTTGGAGGGGGGGGCAACCTGAGTGGAACCAGAGGGTCAGAGACTTAGAGGTATAAAGGACCTTAGAGGTCATCTAGTCCAAATTCTTCATTTAATAGATAAGGAAACTGAGGCTCAGAGGGGTGATGTGAATTGCCTTTGGTCATGTGACAGTGACAGAGCTGGGATTCAAACTCCAATCCTCTCCAAATCAGGCTTTCTTTCCACTGAATCATACTACCTCTTCTGGGGGCCAGGGTTTGGTGGTAGGGAGATGTCAGCAGTGAGGGGTTTAATAGGATGGCCTGGGAGAGTAGAGACAGTGGGATTTTGTGATTGTCTTCAGACTGGTCTGAATAGCACTTAGCACAGTTCCTGGAAGTAGTAGGTACTTAATAAATGCTTATTTACCAACTGACTATCACTCCTGGAGTTCCCTAAGCTCCCTATTACTTCTAGGGTTGAATGTAATATCTTGGGCATTTAAATCTCTTCACAACCTGGTCCCAAGCTACCTTTCCAGTTTCATTATCCCTTACTTCCTTTCTTTCACTTGGCATTACAGCCAGAGAAGGCAGTATAGTAACAGTAAAAAAAAAAAGTGCCAGCTCTTGGGTCAGAGAATCTGAGTTCGAATTCCCACTTCTGTCACTTACTGCTTGTGTAACACTTAAATCTCCCTCAGCCTTAATTTCTTCACCTGTAAAATAGGAGATTTGTCTAGATGCCCTTTGAGGTTCTTTCTTGTTCCAGATCTATAATCCTTTCTCCACACTGTCCTTCTTACATGTCCTCATGCCTGATACTCCATCCCGGCTCCTTGCTTTTGAACTGAATGTCCCCCACTTTTGGAATACATTCCATCCTTATTTCCACTTCTTAGAATCTACAGTATGCTTTAGCTCAAGTGCTATATTCTACATGAAGCTTTTCCTGATTCCTGAATCAGCTAGTCACTCCCTTACCTTCCCCCTTATCTTGTATCTATTTCACATCTAGTTTGTATGATACATATATACAAATACATATATGTATATATATCTAGGTCTGTCTGTGCTCATGTTGTCTTTCCTAGCTATATAGCAAAGCTCCTCATGGATTGATACTGTTTCACTTTTGTATCTGTAGCAGTTAGCACACTCCTAGACACATAGTAGGCACTTCAGTGCTTGCTAATTGATAAGGTTGAAAGAGCATGTTTAGAAGGACATTAGATGGTGGTTTTGATCACACAGGGAAAGTTCCAAGTGAGGTCTGGGAGGTAGAGCATTCTGAGTGATGTTAAGGTTTGTCCTGAAATTGTTGTTAGGTCTTTGTCTTCAAAAAGGACCGATGGCGTCATGAGGGTGATGGCTTGAGTTTTAGGTGAATTGGATTTAAGTGAAGCTGAGCTGAGTAAAGTTGTCAGCCTTACTCTGTCCTTTAGAGATATCCAGAAGCCCGGTGGCAAGACCAAATCAAGATGACTGCAGGACCCAGGATGCAGCAGTGGGTGACCTTGGCCTTTCTAAATTAAGGTGTTTCCCAGTTTCAGTTTGTTTGAAGCAAAGACCATTGCTTGACTAAGGGGTAGGTAAGAATTGAGAAAAAATTGAGACAAAAAATAGCCCAATTTGCCTTCACAAAAATATCAATCTGGGAGGGGAAGACCCTCAGTATTTCTGTCCTGAACAGAATACAGTGGCTATTTACACTCATGCTAAGCCATCAAAGCCTAAACTATGAACTGTGCAGGCTTGACTTGGGGGGTATTATTGGGCATTAAATGAACTCTTCCAGATTTTCTGTTTTTATTTTAATTAATTAATTTTTAGTTTTGCATTCACTTCCACAAGATTTTGAGTTCCAGATTTTCTTCCCATCTCTCCGCTTTCCCCCACCCCAGGATGGCATGCATTCTGAATACCCCTTCTCTTAATCTGCTCTTCCTTCTATTACCTCCCTTCCCTTCTCTTTTCCCCTTCCCCTTCTATTTTCCTGTATGGCAGGGTAGATATCTTATTTAGATTATCTTGCCTAGATGTCTTATTTCCCAGTTGCATGTAAAAACAATTTTTAACATTCGTTTTTAAAACGTTGAGTTCCAAATTCTCTCACTTCTTCCCTCCCCACCCACCCTCATTGAGAAGATAAACAATTCAATATAGGTTATGCATGTGTAGTCATGTAAAACACTTCTGTAATAGTCATGTTGTGAAAGACTAACTATATTTCCCTCCATCCTATCCCACCCCCCTGTTTTTTCTGTTCTCTCCTTTGACCCTGTCCCTCTTCAAAAATGTTTGCTTTTGATTACCCCCTCCCCTAATATTCACTCCCTTCTATCATTCTCCCTCTTGTCCCCTTCCTCCCTATTTTCCTGTAGGGTAAGATAGATTTCCACACCCAATTGAGTGTGTATGCTTTTCCCTTCTTAAGCCAAATCTGATAAAAGTAAGATTCACTCATTCCCTTTCACCTCCTCCCTCTTCCCCTCCACTGTAAAAGGTTTTTCTTGCCTCTTATATGTGAGATAATTTACCCCATTCTACCTCTCTCCTTTCTCCTTCTCCCAGTATAATCCTCTCTCACCTCTTAATTTTATTTTTTAGATATCATCCCTTCATCTTCAACTCACCCTGTGCCATCTATGTATATATTCCCTCTAACTACCCTAATACTGAGAAAGATCTCATGAGTTACAAATATCTTATTTCCATGTAGGATTGTAAACAGTTCAGCTTTAATAAGTCCCTTATGATTTCTCGTTCCTGTTTACCTTTGCATGCTTCTCTTGAGTCTTGTATTTGAAAGTCAAGTTTTCAATTCAGCTCTGGTCTTTTCATCAAGAGTGCTTGAAAGTCCTCTCTTTCATTGAATGTCCATTTTACTC